TGATTGAGATAAAGTTATAGCGGAATCTTTCGTGGGAAAGTTCAATCTGATGTTACAAGCCTCGGGTTCCAATGCGAAAAATGACCAACAAATTTTTTAATGCCGCTCGCTCTCAATACTTCTTATCCAGGGAAGCTTTACTTTTTCAAGTCTCCATGGATACAGACATGACAATTTATTTAATGTGCAAACCTTGTTTATTCTGTGGTTTTTGTTGTAAAATAATTTACAGTGTGAATGTCTTAATTTTTAGTGTAGTACATAATATTGACATATGTCCCAGATAAATATGAATTTGACGCAACAAATCGGGTCATAATCTTTTTATTCTGGGTTTCAAACCAGGCTAGTAATTCACATGTCACATGGCCCCTACCTGGACTTTTTTCAGGGTCTGTCTCTGATTATTATAGGTGTGTGGTGGGCATAGAAGTACATACCATAAAACCTTGAATAGAAGACCTGGGCTTCTGTTTTTTTTACAAACTTTGGATGGGTTCTTTTCAAGGCTATTTTTGCAAAGTAAAAAATGGGCTTCTTTCCAAAATGAATGCTGTAATTTTGGAAATTATTAAATATAAAACAATAAATAGGTCTGTGTCATATGGTGTGTCATATGCTGTATTAAAATCGCCCAAAATACTGTATAAACCAAGATGGGCTTTTTTTTAGCCTACTTTTGCAAACTAAAGAGGGGGCTTCAATTTGAGACTAGTTTCTTCTCAAGATTAAGCCCATTGGCTGAGTTTTTACGGTATGAGAGAGTTCACACGCTGATAAAGATTGTTGAGTTTTATACAGTAGCACTGAGGTCTTGGCATTACATAAGTTCTAATGTAAGACCTTCACATTTAATGACGCTTTGAATTGAAGCTCTCAGGAGATGTGTTTCTATGTTCAGCTCTGTTTATTTTACGAGCCTCGAATTCTATCGCGGTAAATAACGAACAACATTCGGTAGCGTAACCAAGTTAGGTGCTCATGGTTTCTGTTCATCTCACTTTTGATAAAACATTGAAAAAATAATAGTAAATCAATGGAAATAAATGGTAAAGCAAGTTATTTTAGATGTTGACAACCAATTTATGGTGTAGTCATAGCCATCGATATCGTTAGTTTTGCACTTTGCATAAAGTTCACTGAATGTAATATTTCTATATTCAGCATTTTAAAAATTCTGGATACGCCTCTGACATTTTTTAATACCACTATAGACACTTCTAGTCCAGGGACGCTATACAATTCAAGCAAGTATTCACATGTCGTCTCCATGGATACAGACTTTACAATTTATTTAATAGGCAAATCTCTTTTTATTCTATGGTTATCGTTCAGATTATTTTATACCGTAGTACATGATATTGCCATGTATGTCCAAGATACTATAAGTATGAATTTGACATGACCTTAATTTTGACTTGTCTTTACCAATAACAGTATTATTCCTGGTCCTGCCAAAATGAATTTCAATGTACAGTATACAAGTTTTTAGTTCATAAAATACCAATAGGGCTTTGCTTGAAACATTACATTGGTGAACGTAAGTATCGCCAATAATTTACTTCTGCTTATGCATTTAATTTACCATAAAAATAGATCCAAGGACAAAATAATCAAAGGTAACAACGCTGCAGAAAATTATAGATAGGTTTTACTAGCAATATAAAAAATGATAAGAAAAAGTTAAAATTTAAATGTAAGATAACCAGTCAGAATATAGATGTGTTTTAAAAATATTAGAAGTTACCTATATAAATTTGTTTGCTTTTATACTAAGTTTGGCACATTATTCCATAGTTCTATCATCTGTTATATTTTTTCCTCTGAGACTAAACATTCTACGACTTGTGCCATTTTTTTCTGTAAATTTTCAATCAAGAAAAAAACCATGCTTTTTTTGAGATTTTTGTTTAACATTCAATATTTTCACATCTTTTAATTTTAATTTTAATTTTTTTTACTTTCAATAACATATTGTTAATGTAACTAAACATTCACACGATGAATTTTTTGTGTACAAAAATCCTAATTGTTTAGTAAATATTTCAACTAGAGTAGTGTGTAAAATGCTACTTTTGTCTTTACTATTCATAATTCATATTTTTATTTAACTCAAGTAAGACACTAATAGGTACAAAGGGAACAGGTTGCTATACAAAGTACCTATCAAAAAAACATAATAAACATTGTAACAATTAAAGAATAAATAGCACAAAATAATAGAAATGTTGAAAAGTTATGCTTAAGTTAATGTAGTATTCAATAAGAATAAAAATTAAATAAATTAATTAAAAAAAATTAAAAAGAATATTAGTAAATAAATTAGCAAGACATAAATAAGTAAATAAATAAATAATGATGCAAGTGTCTTAGCGCAGGTGGTCGATAGTAGTTTTGAAAGAAGAGACAGGAGGATAAATGTATAGATTACTGATTATGTTTACTACTTGTGCATTACCATATTATTTGTTATAGTAGTTTTCTCATAAATTTCATATTAGGTTCACTTGGTTTAAACTTTGAGTCTAAAACCTGAAAATTATTGTTATTCCACTATTCAGTTTACTAAAGTGCCTTTAAAATTGAATACTTAATAATAGGCTATTATATAGGCCATTCAGTCTTAATTTGTTCATATTTCCATACCTTCTTTGTTTTAGATCTCAATTACTATAATGACCCTACTTGTTTTTCATCATAACAAAAATTGTGAAATTGTTATAGTGTCTGTAAATTTATATTCACTATCAATGATGCATGAAATGTCCATGCTGTGAAAACAACTTTAAGTGAAATAATAAAGAAATTTGAGTTAGTTTAAATTGAATATGAAGAATGTTATGTTACAAGTTGATCGTCAACGTAATAGAAAAAAGAATAAGGGGAACCAAAGCCTCATGCGTCAAAGGCTTTTACGAATGCTACCCTTTCAGCTCTGTAGTGTTTACGAGATTAACGTAATTTCATGCTCGTTTGGATCTTTAAGTAGGCTACTTAGTAAAGCTGTTTGTTTTTGCAATAGGGAAATTACGCTTATCAGCTATTGTTGGACAAAGTAAACTGGATATGTCTCGTCTTAAAAATAAAAAAATGGATAGGCCTACATACATTTTGAATATTTGAATTGGGGGAAGGAGGTGTAAAAAGGGTGATTATGCCTTTCTCCGGTATTAGCTTCACATGGGTCAACTGCTGTCTCTTATACACATCTAGATGTGTATAAGAGACAGAATCTACTGTTTCACGGGGTTCTTTGAATTTTCTTCCTTCTGTATACGATTCTGATCCACTAGAAATAGATAGGCCTAGTTTTTCTCAATAATGTATGAATTACCCTTGTTATTGATGTTAATTAGTAATGGTAGAAGAAGAAGATATACATAAAATAAATGAACGTCGGGATGGTGTTAGTACTATTACTAGTATTTAAGAGTCGACAGAAACGTTGGAAGCTATGCCTAGTTTAGTAGTAATAGTACAGCAGTTGTTAAGGGTATTGATTGCTTCGAATGTTTACTGTGATGGTGAGTTCAACAGTCCATCTGTGACAGGGGTTGTCAACTAGGCCTAGGCTAGACCTATCGCAGTAGGGGGAAAAATGGTTCATTGAATAAACACTGAATAAATTTTACACAACCTTGGCATTACCTTACAGACGCGTGTGAATGCTTTTTATCTCGGTAGGAATAACTTGGGAGATCGCTCGGTTACAATCTGTTACTTTTTGTTAAATTTAACTTCACGTGTGAATCAGGTATTAGAAAAATTAGTCATACAACATATCATTTTTTTCCCTCTGTAGCCTGCCTTTGAAGAATTGGGCACTGTATTTTCTTTTTAAATATTGACTATTATTTTTTGTTTTCTATATATTTTTAATTGACTAAGAAATACAATTTATTTGAATTAAATTTTAGGTGACATTGATCATTTTCATTATTTTTATACAAGAGTACAAAAACATACTCTTTTCTGTGAATCCCTTCTTCCTTAAAGATTACATAAGAAAATGATGAGTTTTCATCATTGTGAGATCATAATTTTATCTCTTTCATAAAAGAGTAATGGGAACACACTGTCAACTCCCTGCTCCTAAAGCGTAAGGTATGTTTTGTAACTTGTGAAAATGAATCATTGATTGTCCCTTAAGGTGTGTCCGTACTATCACATTTCATGTGACAAGTTTGTTCACATTATCAAATTTGTTGTCACAAATTTGTGTGATTTCCCCATATATGGGCATGATGATTTATTTATTAAACTCTCTTTATACTGGATGGCACGCTCAATACAAAGGCACTGGTTTTCGTTGTGGTCCAGTTACAGTAAAAACATAAAAATACAAAAGAGATAGGAAAATAAAACAAAATGACTTAATTACATAAATAGAGGAGAGATCAATTAATTAAGAGCATTTCTAAAGTTATATAAATTCAAATAGGAAATCCCTAGTTATGTTACCAGGTAGTTGGTTCCAGTTTATGGATGCCTGATAATGAAATGTCCGTTTTTCCTTGACATATGTTCCATTGAACTAAAAGATGATTATTTGTCCGACTTTGAGTTTTTTTTATCATTATTAAGAAAAACAAACATATTTATTAAATAGGAAGGTGCAAGTCCTTGAAGGCATTTAAAAGTTACAAATCTGTTATTTAAAGTTTGCCAGTTCAATAAGCTTAAAATGTAATAAATTGGTGTTCTAATATCGCAAGAAAGTGAAGTCCTTCCAAAGGTGTTTAAAAAGAACTTGCAGGCTATTAGATAATTGGATGAAGTAGTTTGACCATACACAAAACCAATAATCAAATAAAGGAAAAACCGAAGTTTTAGCTAACATCTTAATAACAAATTGAGGTAAAAAAATATCAGATATACAGTAACACACAAATATGGTCATATTTATAGTGTGGATAGCACTTTTAGTGATTTGGGAAAATATTAATTTCAGGAAATTATTCTGAGAATACAAGTTTTTTAACTTTCATTTTGATTTATTTTGCAGCAGCACAAGACGGACGTGGGGAGACTGGGGAAGACTTTTTCCAACGAGTAAGTTAAAAGTACATTTGTTTTGATTTAATAGTTCAACAGGAAATTAATGAAAAGCAATTCTTGATCAATCATTAATTTACTTGGAATTCGTTTTGGACTTAATGTAGTCACACAACACGTGCACCAAGGATAGTCAATAGTAAGTGTATCACTGGCAATCCCTTTCACAAGGCAAACATGCACACACGATGCTTTACTCAACCTAAATCTGAATATGAGAATTAGGGAGTGGAGTTGTTTTGGTCGTGAGAAAAAAAATCCTGCAACACCGACAGGAATTAAACCCAGGACCTGGGAATCAGTCTATTCAAATCCACTAAAACTAGATTCAAAACGCTGCTTTAAAAAAATGATAATTTAGTCGTGACGTCATCACTGTAACTCCTAATGTTTTTTTCCTATTCCACCATGCACAAATTTTTCATTACTGTAGTGCACGATTTGCTTGATCCTTTCTAGGCTCATGTGCAGAAGGTGAAAACAACTTGTACAGAGTGTGTTGCGCACCGTAGTGAATTCTAGGCTAGTGTTTTTACACCTTGCACTTCAAACCTTTGCTATGTTGTTGGACAAGTCATTTTACATACATGAATGAGTGTCTCTCTTCACCGTGGAGTATAAATGAATACCCAGTAAAAGATGTAAATGTTTTGGAATGTAATTGGTCTGCTCCTGAATTAGCGGCACAATTAAGAATGCTCCCTAAGGAGTCCAGGAAGTTGCACATTTTCAGTGATTGATTAACCCTGTAAGCATTCATAAATTTGGTTTCGTAGTACAAACCCATTGTCTCAGGTGGATACAATGAGGAGGGTACCTAGCCGGACTGGGCACCCTAAATTTTTGAAAATTTAAATAACGATAGGGAAAAAAATAAAAATTATATTCAAATTCTGACCCTTTAGAAATGTTACAGCCTTAAAATTTTAGAATACAGTATATGTATGTTATTATGAAGCTGATTTAAATGATTTAAATCTTTCTTTGTGAACTGATGAATATGCATTGTAATGCACCTATGAGCAAATATTTTTTGTATACGGCACAATATAAATGCTTTTATTATTTTTGTTATTATTTGTTGACTATTTCTTGCATCTTTGTGGTTACTATGCTGATAGTTTCATGAAGGAATCCATTATTTCATTACACACTTTCTATACCTTTGTATGTTCACTTTTGTTATAGAAACATTGAAAAAAATCATATGTGCTACAGTAGATCAGTTGTAATATTTAGGTGCATTCTCCTGCTATATATTTAATGTTATGTTGCTTTTAAGAGTAAAAACATTAATGTCATTGGTTGCCATGGAGATTTTATCAACTGTGGAAGGTTCTGCAGGTACAGTATCTCAAGATGTATTTACTATATTATCCTTTTCATAATATGAAATACAAGTAATTTACCAAACAGATGTTAAGGTTCACAGAATGTTGTACACTCTATTATATCATTGAAGTATAGCTTATGAGTACCTGTTTTTGTTCATAAGATTATATCGATATTGATCTGTCATACTTAAAGTGCCGTTGCCATATTTTTTTATGGCATGGTCACACACATCCACACATTTGAAGAGCAGTGGCCACATTTTAACCACAGAAATGAGAATATGTATTGCATTACAGCCAATCAATGCATGATAATCTCAGGATTTTTACTTATTGGAAGAACAGAAGGATGAATGTAAATCACCATTATTATGACACGATTACATATAATACTGTAGTTGCTCAAGTATACTGTAAGCCCATCTCAGGTATAAGCCCACCCCTTACTATACGCCCAGTTGTACATGCCAGTCTTTCCTCAGGCAAAAGCCCAGGGTATGAATTTAATGAGTAGCTTAGTTAACTCTCTTACAAGTACTCTAAAAAAAATACTCAATATTTGTTTTGACTTAGGCATGGAGTGCTGAAAAGAGTATTCCCTGAATATAAGCCCACCACCCATTTCCCCCTCCTCACCCCAACAAAAAAAATTAAAAATTGGCCCAATTTTATGTTCTTGAGTGGACTTACCAGAGTTACTATGGTAATAATAATTTTAGAAAATAGATAATACTTAATTATTTGTGATTGTGATGTTAATGTCCTTTTCATTGCTGGGTTTACTTTGCTTGCTAACAACCATTGCCAAGGGTGGTTGAGCTAAATTGGCACAGACTCGGAACAGTAATTTTATTGCTACAGGCAGCAGCGTATGGTTCCCCCGACATGCCCAGCCTACATTACTCCTACCAGATCCCAATGTGCCAAAATGCTACTTTTTAACAACTACTGAACCAATGCTACATTGCTACTTTTGTTCATGAGACCAACCTACAGAACACTACTACTTTTCAACCAAAGTCCAAGTGCTACTCTTCCACTGGAGCACAACCAGCTGCCACAATGCTACTTTTTGACAGCAACCCAACATACGCTACATTGCTTTTTTTTTTATTTTTATAGGAGACCAAGTGATTGCCACATTTCATGCTCATGGGTCTTCATCTAATTCTAAAGAACCTTAAAAACAATTAATTATATTTTGATTTTTTTTTGTTATTCTATTGTATAAGCTTACAGCCACCATTTAAAGACTACTGTTTGTATCTATAGTACATTGATATTTTATTTTAGGCTCATGGCAATTCAGTTGGTACTAGAATTTTTGTGGCCCAATGAGCATATTGTATCATTTAATCGTTAGCAGAACTTCATGAGATGAATACATTCGGCTTTTATGACATTATTATTAATTCTTTATCAGTTGTGACTATGTACACTACATTGTTGTTTTATTTTCGGCCCAGTGAAGCTTACACCTAGAACCTGCTTGGCCCTTACAACCAGCCTAATGCATCCTTGAACAAGACTGTCATGCTGGGCTAAGCCTAGCATCAGCCAATCGCATACTTGTATATTGATTTCATCGGAGACAAAAACAAATGACAAATATGTTTCAGAGAAATTTCCTAAGTAAATGGCTATGCAGTGTCATGTATCTGACCTGAGCTAGCTGTTCCTAATTTCATATCTAAATAGAACGATGTTTGTTTCATGTTTACGAAATATCGGGTATTTTTCACAAGGTTTCCTTTGTGAAATATGATATAAAGATTAAAACCAAATTCTAATAGAATAATCTATGCTACAAGCAATCTATTTTGTTTTTATGCTGTTGCAAAGAAACATTTTTCTCGCCAGTTAATTTTCTATGTTGTTTGCATACCCATATTCTAGTAAATAGTAAAACAAACATAAATTATGTTAAAACGTAATTACCAACATATAAAATTATGTTAAAATATATGTTACATTCCCACGACTATGGGAACAATTACCAATAGAAATTCAAAATTATCAATATTTCATTATTTAAGTCTGCTCTTACAAAACATCTTCTTTCAATGTATTAATTAACTAATTCAATTTAAATTTTTAGTATCTAAGTTTAAAATTTTTTTTTTCTAGTATATATAATTATTGATATAGAATATGTAATTTAATAAGTATTAACGTGAAAAGTTTACTATGTGTTTGTTTAATTATTGTATTCCTTTCATAATATGGAGCCTACCAAACATACACAAAGGCAATAAACTTTCTGGATGTAATTTCAAAGGAAGAGACTGGAATGATGCTGTGTCCAGCATCTTAGTTAATACTGATTCTGGAAGATGATAATACTTTTTTATAAAATCGGTCTTGTGTTATATTTATGAAATAGTGTTGCATTTCACATATTGAATTTGAGCTGAATTCTATAAATATACAATTAAAAATTCATATTATTTTTATGTGGTTATATACTAATATGAAATATTGTCTTTCATACCAAGGGGGAAAAAGCCACTTTATTAGGTTGTTGCTGTCTCGGATTCCTCATCAGAACTCCATCATTCTCCTTTTAGCTCCCTTGAATTCTCAGGGTAGCAATTTTTCAGACATTTGACACCATAACTATTTGATATTTTAGAGATTTAGCATAACATGCGGTAGTGTAAGAGACCATTTTAAGTGCATTAAAGGTACGAAAAATGCTTTTAGTTTTTATACCAATAACATAATCTTTGAGAGCTGTCAAGCTATAGGCCAAGATTGGAATTAGGATGCCAGTGGTAGAGACATCTGATTGGAAGGCCTTTCTTGTGCTTATTGTATATTAGTATATTTTTAGCCTTTTAGAAGGAACATTGTAGCTCAATATCTAATAAATATTTAGCCCAAATTTAGAAGGCAGAACGTGTTGGCCGACCTAAGAATTGAAGATCATTCGCCATATGACATGTTACTCAGTTCTTAACATGGTATGCTACGCAGTCAACAGCATGTGTTTTTCCACCATCAGAGCATGCTAGATGGGCAGTAGGCTAAGTTTTGATACGTTACCAATAGAGTAAGCTACTCCACCTACAGGGTAGTGTGCTGCATTGCAAACAGACCGTGCTACTCTGTTGACAGTTGTACTCCTCCAACTACTTTTGTATACCAAATATGAGTAAAAATTATGACTTCTCTGTTCTAAAGTATGTAACACTGGCTACATTCTTATGGTAATTTCTCAGTTTAACATATAGCGACAGTACACTTGTTTTGGGATGGCATATCTTGATTAATGTTACACAAGGTTCCCAAGTCTCTCGGAAATCGGGACGGCCTCCCGCACTCCCGCAAACGAGCAAGAATCTTCTAGAAGTGAACCCATCTCATTCATAATTTTGCAAGTTTTCACTGTTTTATTGTCAATTTTCTCAAGGAAGCAATGCTGATGGGTATCACTATGTGTCGCAAAATAAAATTAAATGTGTTAAGGAAGCTCATTAACTACATCAGTGGTGGATTCAAAAGCGGGGAGAGCCGGCCTAGTTCCCTAATTATTTTAAAATTATAAAAAAAGATAATGGTGTAGAAAAAAAAAAGCAAATTTAAGTCCATCTGTATATAAGCCGCAAATTTTATACGCGATTTTCCCCCCGATGTGTGGGCTGTCTCTTATACACATCTAGATGTGTATAAGAGACAGCTCCCTTCCCCCTCTCCCACCCTTCGTCCCGCCACCGCAGATCTCCCGGAAATGACTTCTTCCAGCTTGGGACCCCTGTGTGTGTTTTCAATATTAATTTGGATTAGTTTATCTTATCAAAAAGTGTTAAATAAATTTTGATCTAAACGCAAATCTTTGCAAAACTAGTAGGGCCTACATACTGATACTTTGTATTGAATTATTGAATATTATAAACCAAGGTACAGAATTATAAATGTAGCAGATACGAAGACATCGTCAACAATATTGAAGATAAAGGTTATAAATATACATTGATTTGCTTGGAGTTTAGTTCCAGGGAAGATAAGGAATCAAGAGGAAATCGTATTTTTAAACTAAATAGTAAACGATGTAAAACGAAAAAAAAAAAAAAAATTTGTCAAGCTGGCAGTGGCGGCTGTAGCTGTAGCTTGTTTTGACGCGCTACTGTGATTTTACGAACTAACACAATCTACTTTGATTGTGTTAGTTCGTGATGTGAGCGACGATTTGGAATGCCTGACACTCGTCTAAGTGGGCGAACTGACATTATTTGTAATAGAATATTTTTCCCTCAACACTGTATAAATATTGAAAAAAAATATTGCTTTATATTTATTTAACACTTAATCTTTTGCTGTTCCTTTGTATGTGACCTTGGTTTTAGGTTACATTCTTTTTATTGTTTCCTGAATAAAGCATGATTTGATTTTTTTATTTTAAATTCCAACTGGAAGCTGCTATTGAATGAATTGGATCTACGATAATAATTCATGATTTCATGTTTTCTTTATCTTGCAGATAATGTTAGAAACAGAAACACAAATTACATGGCCATCCAAATTAAAGATAGGTGCAAAATCAAAGAAAGGTAAAACTTTTTCTCGATGTCAATTTAGTCTTGATAACTAAAGTTCGATAAAGGCTAATTGGTTTCAAACTTGGCGAAATGCAAGATGGGAAGGAGACCGAGCCTATCGTTTTCCCAGTGTGTGTAAATATGCTAATTGCTCATTTGCATAATTAATATTTCACTATAAAGCAATTTAGTCTAGTTATCACGATAACTAAAGTTTGGCAGAATGGAAGATGATAATAAAAAGACGGAGCCTATTTCCAATTTAGGCAAAATTGTAGTATTTTTTGTTGTCGCTGTCGTAGTAAATTTGTTACCACGATAACCAAAGTTTGGTATGTCTGATCGGTTTCAAACTCCTACTTATCAATTTTCAGAGAAAAATCATACCATGGGGAGGCTATGCTTTAACGGCACAGTGTTAAAGGAGCATTTCCAATTATTATTATTTTTATTAGTATTAATAAAGCATTTGTTTTTAATTTTATTAATTTGTTTTTTATAGGGTGTTAAACCAGATAGGCATGTCGTTGCCTCTTTTCAACCTCCTTTTATCTAAAATTTTAGGCCTATATGTATATTATATTTGTCTTCATTGTAAATGTAAAAAAAAAAAAATATTTTGTTTTGGGTAATAAAAAAAAGAAACAATAGTTATGAACATATTGTTGGCGATTATATCTTATGTTTGCAATATAGGAATGATCTGTAATAACATAATCTTTGTAGGAGCGTGCCACAGCTTAAATTTGTATTGCAGTCATAATTATTTAATACTTAGATAAAATACTTTTTAAAGCCAGGGTCTAGAGAAAAAAAGTTTTATGAGATACAGATTTTTGAATACCGTATATTCTGGTACTGTATATAAGCCGCAAATTTTATACGCGATTTTCCCCCCGATGTGTGGGGTGCGGCCTATACACCGGTCATTAACCTACTCCCAAAAAGTTCTGATTGCGAGCCGCAGCGAAAATCAGTTGCTGACTGTCTACTGTAGGTTAGGCCTATGCTAGCCCAATTAATTAGCCTAGGGTAGGACCGGTTTGTAGGCCTAGTATTTGTAATTATACTCACTACAGTGGTGTACTAGGATTCCTACTACATTTTTTACGACATTAAAGCAATGGTTTAGGTTGTCTAAATAATTATTTTCATAATTACGTTCACTCATAAACAATTTTGAAACGTGCTATTTCTGTTCGAAACTGCTTCACTCTAAACAATAACAAACTACTTTTCGGGAGTTCGGTCCTCGAAGTCACCTGAGCAGCTTCATTTATGATGTCGCAACAAAACACGTGGGCTGGTGAAACTTGCAGTTCGACGTCTGGTTCCAGTTGGCTTGTACCATTATAGAGAGACAATTGATACCGCTATAATTTTTGAATAAAAACTTGTGAAATTAATTTATGCTATAAAAACAAGGGTTTTCCTGAAGTTATAATAATTATTTTACTGGAATTTATCTGTAGAAATGCATACGTCATCTTTGCATGCGTAAACTTTGTATCACTCACACAATATTTCTCCAGTTCTGTTTTTGTTTATAAAACGTGGTGCTAATGGTGCATGCTTCGCGCAGTGGGCTGTGAGTAGTAATGACTTATGCCTAGAATTACCAATATTTTTAGCCTAATACCGACTGTTATTAGTCGCTATAATAAAAGAATGGTTGTTTAAAGTAGATAAATGTACTCAATAAGTATTATATTTTATTAGATTTTATTAAACTTAAACTAAACTGATGTTGAAAATTTAACGTAGCATGATGGTCTAGCAAGATATAGGGATTTCCCAAGAGCTGCCTAGAGCAAGCATTGCGGTAGCCAGAAGTTTACACGCATTTGTAGTTGTTTGTTGTTTAATAATCAGCAAAAAAAAGATGAAATTTCTTTATGTGAACATTTGTAAATAATGTCAATGTTTCAAAATAATGAAAAAATTAACATTATGGAAACTTGAAAAAATATGGAGCTTAAAAATAGGTGCGGCTTATACACAGGTGACACAAAAAATCGTGATATTTTCGCGTCCTAATTTGTGGGGGAGGGGGTGGGCGGCTTATACACAGGTGCGGCTTATACACTGAAATATATATGGGTAGATAAAAACTGGGAAAAAAATTTGCGGTATCACCATATTTTCCCCAATTTATAATACAGTATTCTCAAATCTGTATCTCACTTAAAACCGTTCCAAAGTTTTTCATCAAACAACATTTTGGTGTCTTTGAAAAATCAGTTGTACAACATACCAAAAATTGTTTTTCCTCCCGAGCCTAGATTTAAACTTGCCTTAATTAAAGCTGAGAAACACAGACATACTACATTACATTAACAAGCATTATAGACCCAAAGATATAAAAGATGCTGGTCTCCCCACACATTTAGTGGACCCTTAGTCTACCGCCCTCTATCACCGATATATACATGACGTACCTGTGATGTAAATCCATCGCAACTATTTCTTATCTGACGAGTCAAGAATTGCCGACCACAAAAATGTCTCACAGAGACGTCAGTGCAATATAATTGTATTACAAGATTTTTTGAAGCTAAGCTTAACAAGTAAGATTATGTAGTTTGCTTAATCTCAATTTTTTTGACTGAAATATTTTCTAAATAGAGAATAATAAATCTGAGGCCAGAGAAAAATAACCACAAGCACAAGACTGCATTTTTGCACTGTAGAAAATCTAAGTAAAAAGTTTTCATTTTTCTTTATCATCAATTCTGGTACTTTGAAAATTATTTAAAAAAATATATAAGAAATAAACTATTTTTATTTTACTGTATACTTCAAGAAATCCAGCCAATTAAGAATGGAATAGTATAACAATATTTAAGTATATTAAATGTTTGCGGTACACCACGTAGATAGTTCTGAAAAGAACTGTTGTTTTGTCTTGACGTTTCGATTGAGATAATAATATCTGAGAAAGAGGTATTATTCTCCTGATGACGATTGAAGTAAATCAATCAAAATGGTTAAACGTTTTCAACAAAACAACAGTCCTTTTCAGAAACATCTATGTGGGGTACTGGAAGCATTTAATATAGTATTACTTCGCCATGCAAACCTTCAAACAATATTTAAGACAAAAACAATCTATCAAATACATTCTTAATAAGAAAACAAACATTTTTTTTCATACCAAATTTGTATCATGGGAGTTTGTTTTCCTTTTTTTTTTTTGCTTTATTGCAACCTTGAGTATGATGATAAAGTATGTTAAGCTTTCTGAACAAAATACTTATCTTAATGCAAGTGTTGGTACAACTGTATAAGGACCAATCTGGTGGTTTATGGCTATAATACCATCTCGTGATTCTACAAAATCAGGAAATTGTAGTGTTCTTATATGTACTGAAGTGTAATTTAGAATACAGTGGAATAGACTGGAGCCATAGCTTGGTGGCTAAACTTTCTACTTTTTATAATAATAACTATGGTTAAATATTCAAAATTTATATGCCAGCAATTCCAAGCAAGATAAAAAGTGTAACAGTACTGTCTCTGTATTTAATCTGTGATTGAAAGTTGCAAAGAAAAAAGGAGAGAAAATTTACTTA